GTAATCAAATAAAAAAATTTAATTTTTACAACGCGTTCTTTTTTCTCAGTGTACATACATATATTAAAAGCAGTTAAATAAGTAACTTTTTAATAACTACAAGTGGTAGATATTCTTCCTTTTTTTCTTCTAAGAAACGGGCTTAAATAATATCGCCTATCAAACAAGTCAATCATACGAATCAAATCCATTTGGCATAAAGATCGCAGCGCAGCACGATTTCGGTTATATATTTATTTTAACTAGCACATAAGGGGCCGTTTTCCCCATCTCCTGTTAAAACTAATCACCAGTTAAACATCTTAAACACGTCTTTTTGCATCGGAAAGGTAGTGTCCCAGAGGCGGTCCCATACTAATCTGGTTAAGATCCGATCAGTGGATCATGAGATATATATATATATATTTTTTTTTATATGAGAGTTGAAGTCAGTTTTTTTTTGCTAAAAATTACTTGTCTTATTTCTTTTGAACCATGAAAAAGTATCTGTGAAGTGCAGAAGAAAAGCGTATTGAATGAAAAATTCAATCAGACAAATTTCAGAAAAAACAGCCGAAAACGTATCCGTTTCACACACTGTTGTCTGTACATACGTTCCTGCCGCACACTTTAGTAGGAAAACGGATCGTCAAAGTATCCGGAAATGGAATCAGTAAACGGACAAAATAGGGAGATAGGCGCTTACACAATAAGTATGTTAGTGGTGGATTGCGCCTTGTTGTTGTCACATAAAGGGGAAAGACTTACAGTTTTACACCAACTCCGAACGGTAAGTGTTTTTGAAGTGTGTTGGAGTAAATTGGCAAATTCAACGGAAATTGCACACGGAAATGGTGCAACGGATATTACACACGGAAATGGTTGGGCTGAAACAAGTGCTTCTTGAGTGTATGCACATGGTATTAATTTAACAAAAACTTGCTAATAAAAGGTTAAAGGATAACACTTAGAAAAATACCAATAAAAGAATGAAAGTAAAGGTGAATACATACATAGATAAAGAAAAGGATAAAGGCAAAGGTAAAAATAAAAGCAAAAACAAAGATGCGTAAACATCGATATTATCTGTAAAAATAAGGGCTACATCTGTTCTGCCTTCTCGGGATTAGATATAGAAGTGAAACGAATGGGTCTGGTGGTGAACAAGGACAAAACGAAGTATCTCCTGTCATCACACAAACAGTCAGAGCACACGCGGCACAAGTTCGTTTACTTGGGAACCAGTATTAACATCAATAATAATGCCAGCCTTGAAATCTAACGGAGAATCACGCTTCCCAACAAGTGCTACTTTGGACTGAGTAGGCAATTGAGAAGTGAAGTCCTCTCTCGTACAAAGATCACACTTTATAAGGCACTCATCATGCCTGTGCTGGTGTATGGAGCCAAGGCATGGACAATGAAAACATCTGATGCGGCGGCTCTTGAAGTTTTCGAGAAAGAGATTCTGCGAAAGATTTACGGGCCTTTACACGCTGGCGATGGCGAACACCGCAGACGATTTAACAATGAGATGTATCAGCTTTACAACGACATAGACATAGTACAGCGAATTAAAATTCAGCGGCTTCGCTGGCTTGGCCATGTCATTCGAATGGACAGAAACGCTCCTGCTCTGAAAGTATTCAACGCGGACCGCGATGCTGGTAACAAAGAAGAGGCCCACGTGTGCGTTGGAAATACCAGGTGGAGAATGACTTGGCTTCACTTCATTTCCAACTGGCGTCAGTTGGCACGGAAGAGAAATAACTGGCGGGCTGTTTTGAACCAAAATCGCTTAGGCGGCCACAGCGCCAATAAAGTAGAAGAAGAAGAAGAGATTCCGCAACTTCTAGGCCTAACGGTATAGGAATTTTTCAGAAAAAAAATCGTTTCAATTGTAACTGGTGTTTAATGTAAAAAGCGGAATAACCTATCCGAGGAAATGCTAAATTGCACATGTATGTATGTATATAAAATAACGGTTGCTTTTGAATCAAAAAAGTCAAGTGCTTCAACTTTAAAGTCACCAAAAATCATATTAACTACCACAATGCAAATATTTTGTAACAGTGCTAGTTTTAATAATTTCCAGTAAGTATTCGGTGACAGATAACAAGGTCAATGGAAATAAGGTCAATTGACTTTATTTCCCACCCTGGTGCGAAGTGAAGTCAATTGACATTATTACCTTTTCAAAAGCAAAATAAAGTCAACAAAAATTTGGAAATAAAGTCATTGACGCTATTTCCTCATTCAAATGGAAATAGCGTCAACAATATTTAAAGTATGTCGATTCATAGAAAAAATGTTGTTCTTACAATAAACAGTGTTGTGTTGTTTTTTAATAGATGAAAAAGGTTTTTGCAAAATCCTCAGTGGTGTGATATTAATCCACACACAATCATGAACTACCACCATTTGATTTTATTAAAAAAATTTAAATTACGAATATGTAAAAACACGATGCGAAAAACTAAACGCCTGCGCACAGCTGGAATACGAGAAATATTTGGAGAAAGAGTGTAGAAATGATCCATAACTTGCAAAACATGTTTCGTTTCCACAAAAATAAAGCGAACACTATTAAATTGAAGAAACAGTCCATGTCCAAAAACCCCGGAGGAACACTGAAAGAATTCTGTGTTTTAAATTAGCATATTTTGAACGAATTCGGAATGTCTAAGGTGGAAAAGAAACCAACTTGTCTATAAGGAAACAATTATAGAAAAAGCATTTTCTTACACTGTATTCATGTCTCCGCCAGCAATTTGTGACGACATCGTTTAAAAGCAGCTAAGGAGAATGACGACACTATTTATTAGATGGCACATTCAACGAGCCAATGTGCCTAAATGCGGGTATAAACAATTATTGATTATTTAATATCGGAACCGAGATCATATAAGTTAATTGATTGGTTTCACACACTTTTGAAACAAAAATTATATGCTTTTTTACTGCAGACAAGTTGTTGACCCAAAACACAGCAGAAATCTTCCAATCAGGGCTGCCAACTATTCTTAGTTATGAGGTGCCATATTGAGGATAAAAAAGTGCCAAAATGTGCCAAATAGAAAAATAAAAGTGCCAAAAAACGTGTTATTCCTTTGAATCATTCACATTTAGCAATAAAATAAAGCTACATTTTCCAAACAAAAATGCAATGATAAAAAAAGATAAACCAGTTGAATAGCCTTTATAAATTAGAAAATTTTAGTTGAGAAAAAGAAGTGCACGCAAAGGATTTCACAAAAATGTATTGAAATGTAACTTTTTTTTACAAAAGTGCAATTTTGGCACTTTGTGCCCAATTGAAAAATTAAGTGCCATTTGAAGTAAAATAGGGACAAATGGCACGGTTTGAGCCAAGTTGGCATCCCTGCTTCCAATAACTTACAAATATAAAAATGTGAAATATCGAGGGCTTGAATTCATTAATACCCTCTATCTGCAATTTACACAAAAACTAATTTGTGATTTTAGAAACCATCTGGGACTTATTACCTGTCATTATATAAGGTAGCATTAATATCACTGATGACAGTTAAAGCTTATATCATGGATTATTATATCAGAATCTCATCTTTGTGAATAGTATGCAGATAGAGGGTATTATTGAATATAAGCCCTCTATGTTTAAAATATATAAAAATTTTATTTCAATATTTTATCTTTTTATTTATTGGCCGTTCGTTTTACACAGTATTGTATATTTTTCGAGCTCAAGGCCACATGAAAATCGAAACAAAATTTCTGATTTTACATTTGTTTTTTATTTGCCGATATTTCGACTTCAGTCTGAAGTCATCCTCAGGAACATTTGACAATGTTTGATCGACGTATACAAAAAATAAATCTACCTGCATTACAGCACGACGGGAGATGGGGAAGGGGGGGCCGCGGCGTAGCGTGACGTGGTGTGCCCCCGGTCGCGCGCTGACGCGGGCCGCCGCGAAGCTAAGCAAATTTGATGTTTGAAAGAGAAATAATGTCAATGGATTTTTTTTTCGTTTTAAAAAGGTACCTTATTTCCATTGTCCTTATTACCTGCACCTAAGTATTTAACAGTAAAAAATACAAAAAATGCATTTACATACATACATGTCGTTAATTTAGTTTTGATGCAGAATCGCAGGTAATACGAAACTACATCGATTTTTCGTCTTTCCTGAACAATTTCAAAAAATGGACTTGGCATCTTTTCACCCTTAGGTGACGATATGTACCTATATTAAGGTAAATATATGAATTTTACTTTTTTACTAATGAAATATATGTATATATAATTGTGGGATTTTCCCCGACTTTCGTGGGTAATTTTACAGAGAATGTCTGACATCACTGAATCAAATATGTACATTAATTAAATGATAAAAATACCACATTGCAGAAGAAGAATTTACCTACATATTTGCAGAGAAATTTACTAAGCTACGACGTTTCCCTATCGCGTAATCAATTGTTATTCTTTATGTTTGATCACACGCTTGGATTCTTGTACATGGCGTATGAGTAACATTATTTCTTGCTCATATTTCATACAAAAGAAATCATTGAATTAATTATTTGATTACTCGAAAGTGATAAGTCGCGGCGTAAATCATATATTTAATACTTGCGCCAGGTATTTAATGTTTGGCTCCGCCCGAATTAGACTCTCTTACTTGTTTTTTAATTACTGTTTTTCCATTTTTCTTCATTTGTAAAAATAACTTAAAGACTGCCGCTGCAAAATGGTTCAAAACTGGAATTTAGTGCACAATTTGCAATTATTCTCGAGAACGATCCAATCTGAAAAAACTCAGAATATATCCGGCCTCGCCGTACTAAATAGGTCCTAAAAATATTAATGCTATGTATTTTAGTATTTCTTCTGAATAGTTTTTTTTGGACCTGTATCTGATGCATAAATACATACGTATGTGTGTAACGAAAATGTCTCTAAAATAAGTGTATTTAGTTTTATCTCATATAAGTAAACTCCTAATTATAATGTGTTTTCTTTTAATACTTTACAGAAAAGCGCACCAAACCGGGATATGATTCAAAATTAAAATGAACAAAAAACTTTTTAGCAAATCTTACTTGAAGTAATTAATTTCAACCGACATTTTACATTGTGCTAGGGGCGATCGGCTCCCTTCTAAATCCAACACTGATGTAGAAACGGTGCACTCAGAAAAAAGCATTTCCTTAAATCAAGAAAACAGTATCCTTATTCCTTAATATTACGAAAAAATTACTCAATTTCAGAAATTTTTCCTTAATTTAAAAATAGGGCGTCATTAATTTTAAGAAGTAAATTTAGTCTATATAAGTAATGATTACCTCAATATAAGTAATAATTTCCTTAAATAATTTTGAATTTTGTCAGTGCTGTTACAAAGACAAAGTTAATTGCTTTCCTGGCAAATGTCGGCTGTGGCGTCGCGTGAAGACTACTGCTTCTCGTTCTGAGAAAGCAAATTCGAATCCGGTTGGAGGTGGTTAGAGTAAGGTAAGTCAATTATGTCAATCTAAATATAAATTACAAATTGTAAAATTAATTTCATATATAAAAAAACCTAAATACTAAAATAACATAAAGAAAAATTAGATAAATTAGTTTTTTAAATACAATTAAAAAAAATAAATAAAAAATAAAAAAATGTTTAAAAAAAATTCCTGCTCTGGGACTCGAACTTTGCATCTCTCGACTAGCAGTCCAGAGCTTTGCTCTGTCGGCCATTGCCATTGTTTGAGCGCCGCGAGCAAAATTACATACTTATTCCTTTTACGGGGGATGAAATGGCAAGAAAATTTTTCCTAAAAACTAAGGAATTGTGTTTTCCTTAAACTGAGTCAAATCGATTACTCATATTAAGGCAGCCATGTCATTGGAGCCATTTCAAGGTAATATTTCCCAAGAATATACTTTTTTCCTAGCATCAAGGAATGTTTTTTCTGAGTGTATGCGCCAATCTGGGACAACGTTCATAATTTTCTCCTGACATTCAAAACGAAATAGTTTTGCTCTTGGAAGTAAAGTTAAAAAGCCAATCTGAACATCATATAAATGGGCTAAGGTAGTAGTATCAATTAGAACGAAGAATGTGGGCCGAATACTAAAAAATAGCGCAAACAAAGAAGCCAAGTAAGGTTATACACCTTGACTTACGAATATCAACATATATAATTACATAGGAAAATTAGGGCGCAAGATGAAAACTAGATATCATGGAACATATAAGGGACTACAACAAAAAATGCTAAAACCATTTATCGAACTTCGTAAACCATATGGCAAAAAAACGAATATTTACGCCAAATAAAATAGGAAAAAAGCCAATATTCTCCAGGTACAGCATAAAGGACAACGCCTAAACGTATTACAGAAAACGGAAATATACAAGCAAAAGCAACTACCATAAACAAGGGAACACAGATCCAAACTACAGAAACCAAGAGATAATTTTTTATGTAGTTACAACTTCTTGTTAACTTACATAAATAAATCCCTGAATGAAACATGAACAATAAATGAAGTATGTATACGCATTTTAAAACCAAGATCGTAGGATTATTTAAACACATAAACACATGAAGAAAAACTTGATTAAAAAATAGATAAAGCAATGCTTTGTAATTTTTACAATAATTCAATTCTTTAAAAAGTCATTGATTATACATATTTATTTATTTTTACATACATACAGTTTGGACCAATTCAAAATGATACTGTTTGCCGCTTAAGTTTATTAATTTTTAAGTTTTTTCAATTAAAATACAGTTCAATTCCTAATATATACCATATAAACCTGAAGCAGCATTTGCATGAGGCGATTTTGTAAGCGATTCATAGGGATGCAAATTTTGGGGAGTAGCATCGATCATCGATGATTCGATGCATCGGAAAAATTAATATCGATGCTAAAATACATCGCCAGAAAACCATCAAACCAACATCGATATATCGATGGTTTCCGATGTTTCAAAAGTTGTTAGGTTGTATTCACATTAAAAGGAAAATTTAATACTTTTCAATTCAAACTATCTGTAATTCAATTAGAAATATACTTACATATGGATGTATTTCCCTGTATTTATTTTCCACTCCTTTACCCTTCCTATAAATAGAATAGAAATGCATGCCGTCGCACAGTGTTTCGACTATATGGAGGCAGGTGGAAATAATAGTAAACCTGCAACAATTTCACTGAAACTTGACATGTGCTCTAGGTTTACTAAGAAATAGGGAATTATGAAATTTGGTAAAGACGGAATGATTGCCACGCCTTCTACTCTTGTGGGCGGGAAACATTAAATTTCATCCTATTTCGATGAAATTTAGTTTGTGCTCACTTTTTTATTATAAAAACCTAAATAGGAAATATGGGGAAGATTGGATCACTATAACGTCCAAAAATCACAAAAAAATGTGGGCCAGTCGTTAAATGTGATGGAACTTTGGTAAATTTTTGTTTCCTGCTTTTCACTCTCAGAAAACAAAGGTTATACTATAAATTGACTTAGGTGTAAATACTCGCTTTTTTCCAATGTTTGGTGAGATTTTTTCATTGTTCGAAAAATTCTTTTCGCGAAATTATGCAAAAAGAGGCTGAAAATCAAAAATTTAGAAAATCAAAAATTACATATATTCTTCATTCATTCTCTAAAACAATTGTCTAATTTCAAGACCTGATGGACCGGTACTCACACTTTTTTTACTAATAATCTTTAGCATCTTATTTCAAAGCAAATTTTTCGTAAGAAAATAGGAAAGTACCAAATAAATGATAAATATGAATATTCCACGATATTTAAATAATGGATTATGGTTGAAAAAGAAACGTTTTCTTTAATGGGATAATCGCCAAAGGCAACTTAACTGATTACTCGATATCGCGCCGATTCCCGTATTTCTTTGGAAATGTATCGTTCGTGAAGAAGGGGAGTGAGTAAATAATGTGAAATGTGGTATTTGTGACTTTTACTTTTCCCTCTCTAAGTCCAACTGGTGTTTTTTATCAACTGTCACCATGACTTTTTTGTATCTGCCTCCATATAGTCGAAACACTGTCGATGTTAAAACATCGCTGAAACTGGCATCGATGTATCGTCAACTTAGCGATTTTAGGAAATTGTAAACATCGATGGCAAACATCGAATTTTGAACCGATATTATCGATGTTTCAAAAATATCGATGCATCGTTTGCATCCCTAGCGATTCAACATCGCCTGAAAAGTTGTAAGCGATTTTATCGCCTTTTAGAAAATTTAAACACAATTTACACAGACGATTTTGTTGAATCGATTAGAAAATCGCCTCTTGTAAATGCAGCTTAAGCTTAAGATTTTTTAGAGCACTGAAAATTCATCAAAATTTCAAACTTTTTTCTTCATTAAATGGAAGCAAATGCGACAACAAATTCTAAAAAACCAACGGTAATTTTTAGCCACTTGAAATTTGCATGTTGTTACGCTGACGGTGGCAATTAATATCAATTGTGTAGCGTTGCCACTGAATTTCAAAATATGTAAATATTTTAAAAATTTTAATTAAAAGAGCACTTAAAAGGGTAAAATTATAAGTAAAATGGTAAATGGGGTCGAAAAATTTAGGTACTTAGGCGGGTTGGGTAAATAAGCGGGGAGGTACTTAAGAGAGGGATTTCCTTCAGATTACATTAAAAAATTCACGGTACCCAAAATGTTGGTTACTTAAGTGGGTTAGGTACTTAAGCGGGTTTCACCGTACATATATATATTTTAATAAGCATAAGTATATCGACTCCTTTGCGCAAAAGTATCGTATGTTACATTCTTTAAGAAATTCACTTTTTGATGCAAGTGTTTCTACACCCCATAACGCATCACCTGTTCAAATATCACGGCTTAAATCCCAATAGCTGCGCCAAAAATTTACTGTAAATTTTATCGTATGCGACAATGAATTTTGTCTTGTGGGCGATATTATCGTATGTGCTAAGAAATTGGAATGTGAAAACCTTTCTACAAAAAAAAATATACGTTTAGTTATATTTCTGAATTATCTCGGCAAATCTAAATTTTAGTATTTCTGGTGCTAGCCAAAACAGAGAAAAATAAAATAAACACTCCTGTAAAAGGGGTCGATATGAGCCGTTCAGTGCACAAACTGATTAACTCCATCAACAAAAAGTTGGGAGATGCGATCAAATACTGTACATTATTTTTAATATTCTATTTATATTATAAAGTCAAATAAATAATGTTATTATAAATATTATATCCTATTCTATGTTATATAAAGTTATTATATAATAAGTTATGACTATACCAAGAGCTTTGACACTTAAATTTAAGATTTTTCAAAAAGTGGAGTTAATGGATGTGTGCACTGAACGGCTCATATATGTATGCAAAAATGCAAAAATATGCAGATAAGCAAATTTCTATGTACAGGATCCCTTGGATGCAAAAGTATGTAATTTCATGGAATTCCGATGTCTATTAATTACTTTTCATGCATGCGTTTTGGTTTTCTGCAAAGATCTGTATAAAACATTTTAAGTTAGATCACTTTTTTTATCAGCTTCAATGTTAAAATCAACTTTATTAATTTCCAATGCTCAAAGATATGTTATATGCGCATATGTGTACGTGCATACATTCATTTGTATGTACATATGTATTTTACAAGAAAAACCTTATTAAATTTTACCAAAAACTTTCGCTATTTTGGCTAGTAGTGGTAAGAATTGCTTTGATAAATATTTAAGTTAATTAATAGGACTTTAATCAGGCCAGACGAGAAAAATAAGATCTATTTAATATCTCTAATAATTCCGCACTTTTTCTTGTGGTAACATAAAACAGTTTTTAATGCGGCGCACAGTGGTTTGAAATCCAAATCTATGTGTACCTACTATTTGTTCGAAGACACGTTGATTAAATAAGACACCACTTTCTTTCCTATATGTTATCTGAAGTAAGATTTCCAAGATTCAAAATGGCTGATCGAATATGATGGAGAAAAAAATTAAAAAGTCAATGTGTTTTAAAATAACGTGGTATCCAAAGGCTTCGGGGTCGCTTCTTATGAATCTGCAGTCAGATTTAAAAAAAGCAAAACGGCAGATTCAATACGGCGGACCAAAACTTAAGAAATCAGTAGATTTAAATAAAACGAGATATTTAGGGGTTTTTAGGTTTGTTCCTGCGACAATCAATTATTGCTTGACATATTGGTAATAGATAGGTCATATATACATATACATATATGATATATGTATATACATATATCACCAAAAAAAGTTGCCGTTGCATCACCAAAAAAAGTTGCGGGTTTTCCGCCGCATATTATAAGACGTCCACCAAAATATTTCGGAAAAATATTAAGATTTGAGCGAGCTGGACCGATTCGAAAATACCTCCAAAAATGGAGTTTTTTATGAAAACAAAATTGTTTCCTAAATAACTTTTTGAAAAAAGTCCCCTCAGATGGCACAACAGATTAGGCTTAAAAAATCTGCATAAAAATATTTAAAAATCTTTTCAACGGAAACGTAATAATGAGATTTTTGATGCTATTTTTTTAATTTCTCAAAGATTGATTTACCAAAAACTTAAATAACTGGGCCCAAACTATTCTGATTTAGACATAAAGGTTGTTTGTAACAGGGAAAACGAATCGAGATAGATATAGAAAAATGTATACATAAATGATCAGAATGAAAATAGAAATCGATTAAGCGGTGACTGTCTGTCCGTACGTCCGTACGTCCGTACGTCCGTCCGTCCGTCTGTGCACGCGACAGCTCGAGTAAAAATTTAGATATCTTAACGAAACTTAGTACGTGCACTTTCTTCGGGCGTAGGACGGATGGGTTCGAAAATGGGCAAAACCGGAAAATAACCACGCCTACCTCCCAAACCAAACTTCTTCCAAACTTGGCACAGTTATTGGCCTTGCTACAGCATACCAAATGACCGAAACTTTTTAAAATCGGACAATAACCACGCTCACATCCCATTTAACGGTAATTTAGAGAAATACGAAATCTTCGATAAATCAGTAAATATTAAAGCTAATTTATTCAAAATTGATGCTTGCAACAATTCTTTACCAAGAAATACATTTATGATACAATTTTGGAAAATGGGCGTGGCACCGCCCACTTATGTTTACATATATGTATCTCGGTAACCGTTCTTCGGTATGGTTATTGTGCTTGCCACATAAAAGCAAAACATTGAGAATTTTTTAAATCGAACTAAACTTACGGCCGCTTTTCATATAACGGTATATTTCAGAAATGATAGAAACTTCAATATTTCGAAATTTAAGGAGGCTAATTTGGGAAAGGTTAAGAACATATATTTAATACCTTGAATGATGTTCGTTCATCCTACCCTTCTCTTTCATCCTTTGAATGAGTTTATTAGCAAAGAAATAAAAAGGGTGAGAAGTACCTTTCCAATGATACCTCATAAGTCTAAATCGGAAGTGTTTGGGATTAGTTATTCAAGTTTTTCTTTACCAATCTTTGAAAAAAGTT